ATGTGTAGTGCTGTTCGTGATGGTTTATGCATGAGGGGAGGCCAGCAGACACACTTTGGACAAGTCGATGGCGGGCCCTGTTCCCCATCAGTCGTCTTGCAGCAGTGAACAAAATTCTGAATTGTGTGTGCAGTTTTTTCTTTCTTCGTCTTCTCATTTTGTTCTCGCTTTTGTTGGTGTTTTTATATTTTTTCGTTTTGAGACTCAATATTATTGAGGTGTTGTTGGTCGTCGGTTGAAGTGATGGCACGCGCTAAAAACAGTTGCAGCAGCAGTCTCGCGGTATCATTGGCAACAACATCATCATCGTCGTCATAATAATCATTATCATCGTCAGTATTGTTGTTCGACGTCGTCGTATTCTGTGTCTGTGCCGCCGTATTGTGCCTTCATCATCACCCCGACGATTATTCATTGGGAACTTGGTGCCGCCACCAAACAGTCGACAAAAATTCTACTATAAAAAGTTTTGAAAACGGCAAAAAGAATTATAGCAAAATAAAAAAAAACAAAGCAACCAAAACAAAATTACAAAATAAAAACAACAACAAAACTGTGCGTGTTCTCATTTCGTGTCTTAACAACAAAAAACGACAAAACAAAAATCTGTTATAAAAAATATTGTTCTTGTTGCAGTTGCTATTTATTGTTTATAAAAAAATTATATTATAAATATTGTTGTTGTTATAACTACACACATTTAAGAAAATGTCATGGTTTTATATCGTTTCATAGATATATTGGATGCAATAGGTAAATAAAAATAAAAAAAAATAATAATAAATAAATATAATAATATATAAATAATAATAATATTTAAATAATAATAAATGAATAAAAATAATTATAATAAACTTTAAACAAAAGCTTTGTTGTGGTGTGGAGTGCACGACTAGCCAAACACCCCAAAAAGGCCAAGCACACAATTGTTTGACGATAATAAAACAAAACAATTACAAATGGAAGAAGAAGAAAAGCTAAAAAAATAAACGATTAGTTAAAAAAGTATGTGTTTGTTGTGTGCACAAATTGCGCTGAAAACTAATATGTCTTTGAAAAAAAATAGAATTGTAAATTGTATGCCTATTACGACATTCGTAAGACAGACAAGACAGTCTAATGCCCCCTCTTCATGGGTGCATGTGCAGCCCAGCCAGGCAAGCATGTGATATGAGTGACATTGTATGTGTGTGTCTCAAATTTTGCCATAACAGTCAGTCAGTTTACAAAGTTTGAAGGTTTGCCTGCGTTCCAGCCTGTGCCAACAAACAAAATTTTGACATTACAAAAAACTCATCATCAGTCATTTGAGAAGTAGTAGCAGTTTAGAAAAAGAACATGACAAAAGGATTACGACGTTCTTCTTCTTCTCCATCTTCTCGTTGTCTTGGTTCTTTTTCATTTCTTTAATTTAGTCTTTAATAAAATAAAAACGAGTGTTTCCAATAAGAGGGGAAAACAATTTAAATTTATTTCAAAGAAATGCCTAGAGGTATGCGACGCGTGCTGGGACGCGGGTCCCTAAAAAATCGATTATTATCAGTAAAATATTTCGTGTGTTGTGTTTTTTGGTTACTCCTTTAATTGAACGTTGTAGTGTCTTTACCACCTGTCCCAATTTTTTCGAAGATGATGATGATGTGAAACACATGTTCATATTGAATTTAAAAATACAAAAACAACAAATAAATGTTTTTTCGGGAATTCTAGTGCACTGCCTGTATTTTTTGAAGAAAACACATTTTGTTAGCATAGCAAGCGAACAAACAAAACTTAAAGTTTAGTGAAATTTTATATTTTTGTGAAGAACAACAGCTCGGGCCGCTATTGTTATTGTTTTTTGTAATTTTTCAAAGAAAAGATGTGAAATGTGAAAAAATTAAAAAATGAAATTGAAGTTTCTTCTACTCCTCACATAGAGGAAGATATAAAATGGAATAATGCATTAAATTCGGTATAGTAAAACAGGTCTGTGAAGTCTTTGACGGAGCCTATGAATCGGACAATTTTGCTGGTGTACAATTCCCAATTTAATTCAACTTTGAAAAGTACTATCCCCATCTTATAAGTCACTTAGAGAATATAATATATTTTCGGATAAAACTCCGTAATCTGGATACAAGTAGCCCGACTCCCAAAACTGCGTTTGATATGATTTGCGATATAAAAACCTAATTTTATTTTTGTTTTTATATAGCCCAGATTCGAATTTAGTTTATATTTGCATCTCACTATGCTGATGGTTTTGCTAGACAAATTCAACAAAATATTTCAAAGAACCAATTGTAATTAATTTCAAAAATATATTTTAATAATCTGGTTCTTCTAGACTACTATCTGAGTTGTTGATTAAAATTAAAGCCATTTTCTTACATAGAGATTGGAGAAAGGACTCTTAAGCCTGATATAAAATTGTGTTTGATATAATTTGCGATATAAAAACCTAATTTTATTTTTGTTTTTATATAGCCCAAATTCGAATTTAGTTTGAAGTCAAAATTTGCAATCCACTTTTTTAAATTTAAATAAAATCATATTAGCATCCCACTATGCTGATGATTTTGCTAGACAAATTAAAAAAAAAATATTTCAGAGAAGAAAAATCAATTTCAAAAATATAAGTAAATAATGTGGTTCCTCTAGACTGTGGATTAAAATTGAAGCCATTATTCAGTACCAATTATATTTTTACATAGACATTGGAGAGAGGAAAACAATTTTTTTCAGTTGTTGTTTTGTGACTAAAATCGGTTAACTGGAACATCTGTAACCCTGAATTCCAAAGATGTTCGACAGAGCTATGAACCAAGATTATTAACTTTCCACAAAAATGGACAACATTTGAGAGGATGTTCGACCTGTTCTTAAGAGACCTCAGTTGGAACATAACAAGGCGTTGAGCTTTAAATATCCTCCACCATAGAAATAATAACATTTATATTGAACGACGTTAACAACGCCAATTGGAAATACAACATACTTCAGTGAAGAATATTAGAATGTGTGGCTAAAAATGTAAAATCGTGTTGGTAATGATAAACGGAACCGAATAAAACAAATATATATCGTAAATACAAAAAATTCAAAAAAAAAAAAAAATTCATAAGGCCTAAAGATGAAACGATAACACTAAAATTTGCCAATTGAAATATGAAATTACATTGTATTCGGTTATCCCCTTCTTCATGTAAAAATTCCCGATGTTTGGGCCATTATTGCGGACTCTGGAGCCAGCAGAAAAGCAGACAAAAATAATAAAAACCGATCTTTACCAAAAACAATAGGAGTCTTCATTGGCCAGAACCCATCCTTCATGCAAAAAACATCGTGTTTACAGATTATAATAGACAGACGGACGGACGGACACACAGCTAGTCGAGATATGATTGATATACCGAAAGGCGTTACAAACTCTTGGGGCTGCACAAAGCTATAATACCCTGACAACATTGTTGTATAGCGTATAATGAGGAGACAAATTTTCGTTATAAGGTGCTAATGCCTAAACGTGGAATCATGCAGATTATCTTAGAGCATCCAATAGAAACATACAGTCCAACATAAAACAGACTACAGATCTTTGAAATATAAACTTGGGAACCATGACAATATATTTCGATAACAGGTATTCGAAAGCAATTATTCTGGGTTCTAAGGCAGAGCAATTCCAAAGGGAATGAAATAACTGAAGGCTGATAAGCAATCGGTGATCTGTTATATTATACTGCATACTAATTTTAATTAATCTATAAATAGAATATTCTGCTTGCCACCAAGTCGTTTCTCTATTCAGCAAAGACTCCCTTATTGTCGTCTATCGAAACCACTTAAGCTTTTCTATAAATACTCTCTCCAATATCTATAAAAATCACCCCTATATAGGCTTCTACACGTTTACTCACCAATAAATTAGTTAAGACTCCCTTCTTGTAGTCTATAAATCCATTCTTCAATTTATCTACATTTCTATGTCGTATACAAATAATTATTTTCGTTTATAAAGACTCCATTGAGCATGTATTAAAACCCCCCCTCTTTCATTTCATCAATAGACCAATTTGTCTGTGAAAACTTTCTTCAGCTCATCTATAAACCCTACATTAATATTCCCTAAAAATACTTCCTTCAGGCGGATTCCCTTTTTCAGCTCGCTTTATGGTGGTCTTTGTAATGACTCCTTCCATTGCTCTTATAAACATCTCTTCAAGTTGTCCAGTTGTTTAATTCATTTTCCTGTGTTATAGAGGGTCTGCTACGATAATTCTCTGATAGGTGGCACCCATTCATTAATTTAATGCATCAACAGTTCACCTAAGACCTTTATTTTTATTCAATGTAGAAATTTTGCAATAATGAAATAAATATAGCGCAGCTTGACACACTTCTGATGGCAAAGTTTGTATGTATATGTCGGTGAATGTGTGTGGCGTTTTATAGATAACCGGACAAACAAACACTCTACATACATATACTATGTAAATATGTACAATTATGTATTATACTACATATAAAAATAAATATGATAATGATTGTAATTGAAGGTCATGTTGAAACACAGATACATTTGAAGCGGGGAAAACTAGACAGGCAGACTGACTTGTGGCCGGCAGCGACAGCGAACTAAAAACAACAACACTAAATGCATTATTTTAATATTTCCACTAAATACACACAAACGTTCGAACACATTGTGTACACACGCACGCACAAACTTTAAATATAAACAAAGCATAAATTATGGACCACAAGTTTCTGGCCTGACAAACCATTAAACAAATTTTCTTCTTTTCTCTTTTATTTTTTGCTCCCCTCCTTCTCGTCTCATCGTCATCTTCAATATATCATCACATCACTCACGTTGGATTGAATGAATGGATGGATGTCCACCAATAGTGGAAACTTTAAATAATGGCAATGGTATGCTGCTCTCCCCACCACATAATAATTCAGGCCATCAGCAGCAGCATCAGCAACAACAACACCAACAACCACAACAATCAACACGTGGTGGTAGTGGCAGCGGATCGGCCTCAACAGCAGCCATTGGTGGCGGTGGTGTGGCCACAGCTGGCGGAAATGAACGAAATGTTAGCAGCAGTAGTGGCTCAGCGGCTGCTTCTGCCTCATCAGCATCATCGTCTGGGGAAAATAATATACAAATAACACAACCGATAAGTGCACCCTCATCACCCTTGGCCTCGCCGGGTGCCATTAGTCCCTCGTCATTTTGTCTGCCATCAAGTTCCACGGGATCAGCAATGGGCGCCGCCACAAACGGCAGTGGTTCATATGTGTGTCCCAACGGTGTTAGCTCCAGCAGTTTGTCCTATGCCAATTTGGGAGCCTCAAATTCGAATGATACGGCCGATCCCAATTGGCAGGCAACCAAGGCCACAGTACTGGAGCGAAATGCGGCCATGTTTAATAATGAGTTAATGTCGGATGTTAGATTTGTGGTGGGCGGAGATTTTGGTAAGTTGTTGTTAATTAAAAGTTGTGAAAGTCACAAGTGTAACACTTTTGCAATTTTTTTTTGTATTTTCAGATACTGTCCAAACGATACCAGCTCACAAATACATATTGGCCACTGGCAGTTCAGTATTCTATGCAATGTTTTATGGTGGCTTGGCCGAAAATAAAAACGAAATTAAAGTGCCTGATGTAGAACCATCGGCCTTTCTTACCCTGTTAAGGTAGGTTTGAAATCTTCTTTATTTAAAATGAAAAACAAAAAATAATTCTCAAATAATAATTCTGTTACAGATATTTATATTGCGATGAAATACAATTGGAACCTGATAATATTTTAGCCACACTGTATGCAGCCAAAAAGTACATTGTACCCCATTTGGCCCGAGCCTGTGTCAACTATTTAGAAGTTAAGTTAACGGCAAAAAACGCCTGTCTACTTCTCAGTCAATCACGTCTTTTCGAAGAGCCCGAACTGATGCAACGTTGCTGGGAAGTAATCGATGCTCAGGCCGAGATGGCCATAAAATCTGAGGATTTTGTTGATATTGATCTCAAGACTTTCGAATCGATTTTATGGCGCGAAACGCTCAACTGCAAAGAGATCCATCTCTTTGAGGCCGGCCTGAATTGGGCTCAAAATTGTTGCCAGAAAATGTCAATTGATGCGACGCCACAAAATATGCGTAAAGTTTTGGGTCAAGCATTGCATTTAATACGCATTCCCACCATGTCATTGGACGAGTTTGCCAATGGTGTTGCACAGACGGGCATTTTAACATCACAGGAGACGATCGATATGTTTTTACATTTTACCGCGAAGGTCAAACCGTCGTTAAATTTCCCCACCAAGCCACGGGCTGGTCTCAAGACACAGGTTTGTCATCGTTTTCAATCGTGTGCATATCGTTCGAATCAGTGGCGTTATCGTGGCCGTTGTGATAGTATACAATTTTCGGTGGATCGAAGGTGAGTAGTGAAGACAAAAGATATTCAAATAGGAAAATACTAGAACTAGAAATAAATCGGAAAGGCACATTTTAGAGCGAGCTAAGGGTAGTGTTTTATGAATGACCGAAAGGAAATCTTTATAGTGGAAGGGAGAAATGGGAATTCTTTATAGACGAACGAAAAATAGAGAAGGAAGTCCCTATAAATGATCTCATAGGAGTCTTCATAGACGAGCGAAAGATAGTCTTCTTACGAGCGGCAAGTAATCCTAGTAGACGATTTGAAGGGAATTTTTACAGACGAGCAGAAGGGAGTCTTTATAGACAAGCAGAAGAGAGTATTTTTAGAAGAGATGAAGGAAGTCTTTATAGACGAGCAAAAGGGAGCCCTTTTATACGAGCGAAAGGGAGTCTTTATAGACGAGCTGAAGGGAGTTTTTATAGACAAACGAAAGAGAGTCTTTATAGACGAACTAAGGAGTCTTTATAGAGGAGCAGAAGGGGGTCTTTAAGAGGAGATAAATTTATTATTTTTCGAAGAGCGGAAGCGAGTCTTTATATACGAGCGAAAGGGAGTCTTTGTAGACGAGCTGAAGGAAGTTTTTATAGACAAACGAAAGGGAGTCTTTATAGACGATCTGAAGGGAGTGTTTACAGAAGAGCTGAAAGGAGTCTTTATAGAACTGTTTACAGGCGAGGTAAAGACAGTCTTCATAGACGAGAGATAGGGAGTCTTTATAGATGAGCGAAAGGGAGCCTTTATAGACGAGCTGAAGGGAGTTTTTGTAGACGAGCTGAAGCATGTCTTTATAGACTAACTGAAGAGTCTTTATAGACGAACTGAAGTGGGTCTTTATAGACGAGCGGTGGGAGTCTTTATAGAATTGCTAACGGAGTATTTATAGACGAGCCGAGAGTGGTCATTATGGAACAGAGGGACCACCAAGAAGGTGTCAATATAGGCATTCAAAATAATTATTTTTAAAATAATTGCCTCAACAAAAACTCTAATATCTTCCCATTCTAATTCTTTTCAGAATCTTCATTGTCGGTTTCGGTTTGTATGGCTCGTCGACTGGTGCTGCAACATATAATGTTAAAATCGAATTGAAACGTTTGGGTCGTACCTTAGCCGAAAATGATACAAAATTCTTTTCCGATGGTTCCTCAAATACCTTCCATGTATTCTTTGAAAATCCCATACAAATTGAACCGGAATGTTATTACACAGCATCGGTTATTTTAGACGGTATTGAGTTGTCGTTTTTCGGTCAAGAAGGTATGTCCGAAGTGTGTATGGGTAATGTTACGTTCCAGTTCCAGTCATCATCGGAAAGTACAAATGGTACCGGTGTACAAGGTGGTCAAATACCCGAATTAATATTTTATGGACCGACAGCAGTACCCTCACCAATGCAATCGATGTGTGCCAGTCCTATTGGTGAATTGGAAGCTGGTTGTGGTATGGGCGGTAGCGGTGGTCTATTGGCAACCACAAATAATGCCGCCACCTCTAATGGTGGCCCAACACATCAAAGTCGCAGTAATCGTAATTCTAGTGAACTATCAGCAAATTGTGATGACTTATTAGGAGCATGTTCTAGTACAGATGGAGGTGGTACTTCATCAAATTAGGAATATATTATTATAGATGATGATGAACTACAACAAATTGTTCAAACAGTGGCAGAAGACGAAGAAGAAAAGACACAAAATCAACTATTAAATTTATACACTTATATATGAAAACAAACAAAAACAACAACAACATAACAAACATTGTAACAATGGTTTTTTCTATCTCTTTCATTATAACCCTTAATCACTCACTACTTCACTCTATTTCTCTCATTAGAAACATACATACAATTATATAGTTATAAATTATATAACAAAAATCATGATAGTCATATATATATATATATATATACAGATTTAGTTTATATATACATACATATAACTCTTACTTTTGGATAATAATAATAATATTTGAAATAAAAACAAAACTATATTCTAAAATAAAAACAAACAAAAAAATAAAACAACAAAGTAATTCAAATAATGCAGGACAAATTAATAAAAACACACAAGAACTTTCTCATACACACAAACACCACCCCCCACACAGACAAACACACATTCATAGAGAACAAACATAGAAAACAAGATTTCAGCAACAGAAATGGAAACATGAAGGGAACATTAAAGTCTGTTAAACATCCAAAACCTATTAATATAATAAAAAATCGAAAACTGATATAAATACTATTATGAAATACTTAAGCAATATTCCAAAAAATGAAAAAAGAAGAAAAACAAGACACCACTAAAAACAATTTTTATCGAAAAAAGATAATAAATCATAATTTCATATTGCATTATTTCTCACACCCTTTTACTCATAAAAAAAAAATGAACAACAACAAAAAAGACATTTATAAATATATAAAATTTATATACAACCACAACAACAATACAGTTGCAATAAAAAACTATTTTAAAGAATATTGAAGAAAGAATACAAAAAGTCGGCCAATGTCGATTATTATTAGAACCTACACCACCACACCATATCTACACATTTTTTGTTACAATTTTCAACATTATTTAAAGATCAATATTTGTAAACGAATTGGTGGTAGCATTTACAGAGGATCAGTTAGGGAATATTTTGAGAAGAGCAGCCAGTGAATAGATGGAAAAAAATTGGAGAATCTTAAGGAATTATAAAAGATCAGAATATAGAACAGGATACAGAATAAAGACGAGCTTACAAGATCCATCTTCTTAGACGAGCATAAGGCCATCTAATAACGAGTATAAGGTCAAAATGACAACCTTTAAAGTTGATGAAATAATTTACGTCTTATTGGCTACCTGCAGGGAATATTAAAATATTAAAGACCACAAGTCAACCATTACAGACGACCTGAAACATGAGCTTTATAAACGACCCAAGGGGGGAGTCCATAAGTAATCTATGGGATGTTTTAAAATATGAGCTGGAGGAAGTCTTTAGAAGGTTCTAAAAACTAATTTAAAGGGAGTCTATAGGAAATATAAAGGAAGTCGAGTTATATACTCTTTACAGAAGAGCTTAAAGAATCCTTTTAAGTTTTTATTCACCAGCTGAAGGAAGCTGAAAAAATTCCTTGTAGGCAAGTTGACGGGCTGACTTTATATACGACCTGAGGTGAGTCTTTATAGACGAGATAAGTGAGCCTTTATAGGCGAGCGAAAGGGAGTCTTTATAGACGAGCGAAAGGGAGTCTTTATAGACGAGCGAAAGGGAGTCTTTATAGACAAGCGAAAGGGAGTCTTTATAGACGAGCGAAAGGGAGTCTTTATAGACGAGCGAAAGGGAGTCTTTATAGACGAGCGAAAGGGAGTCTTTATAGACGAGCGAAATGGAGTCTTTATGACTTCATTGGGGTCCAGCAGACCTATGTATCAAAAACCAGGAGAAATTCATTAGATACTGCCTATAGAAAGATTTCACAAAGTCCATCTAAACGAGACTTATAAAGACAACCAGAGGAAACTTTTTAAAAACGATTACACCACGAATATGTCTCAGAAGGGATCTATAGTGACATCGAATATTTTACAACAATGACCTATATGAGGAGCAAGATGAAGTCCTTCCCGATGAGCAGAAGATGACTTTTAAGTACGAATAAAAATAGGTTCTTATTGATATGAATAAGAACAACTGTCCACTAAAAAAATATTATTTTTGGGAGAGCAGGAGGAAGTTATTCTCGATGAGCAGAAGGTGGCATTTAAGTACGACTAAAAAATGACGTCAAAAATCTATGCTTTAGGGGCAGTAGAAAGACTTTGTAATACGACCACGTTGAAAGTAGTCTTAATATACGTTCCGTAATCACAATCATTATAAAGAACCCTAGTAAAGTCATAATAGGCGGAATTCAAATTCATATTGAACAAGTGGGGATTCCTCTTTCTACAAAACCTAAAATAATTTGAAACTCTATGTAATACTACAGTAATGGCTTCTTAATATACTTTCCGAAGCCAGTTTTGATAAGCGAGATGAGAGACCCCTGGAGGCAGCGTTCAAATGTTAAGCAAATTGTTAAGCAGAAGGAAGTCTGTACGTCTACTAATTGATATTTTAGAAAATCATTGCAAGTCTCGATCAATTACAAATAAAACATCTGATCAATAATTCCACCAGTGTGAAAACACAAAGCAATTTAAATATTAACTCTGTAACCGGCCAATTTATATACTAACTTCTTCTTAAAATGATTCTGGCGCTAATAGATGTTAATCAATCATTTGGCAAATTTTCACTTCCTGTTTATTCTGGCAAGAGTATACATCATATCTTAACTGATATTTGCCGTTAGAACATACTTTTTTATAAATAATTCTGCATTGTTACGTATTTAATGCACACCGTCTAAAGGCGGGCTTGCCGGCTGCAGATAAATCCAAACAACAAAATATGTGGTGTAGGGTATATATTAGACACACATACATACACAAAAAGGCAATCAATTACAAAGAAATTACCAAGAGAAAAAAATATACAAAACAAAAATTAAAAAAAAATATTGGAAAACTCTAAAAACTGGGATCTTTAAAAATAATTAGATGAAAAATTAGAAAAACAAAAAAATATAACTTCTATGAAAAAAATATATACATATATACTATATATATACAAAAAGAAATTGGTACATACATATATACAAAATATATAATATAAATATACATATTTAAATTTATTATTATTATAAAAGAAAAGAAAACAACAAAGTCATTTTTCATTAAAAAAAAGCAAAGAAAAAAGTTATGATATTACGTTAATAAAAAAAGAATAATGTAGAATTATCCTTGAATATAGAATATTTGACCAGTTAACAAAACCTAAAAAAACAAGTTGAAAACAAAAAACCATTAAAACATTTTATTGAAACTCGAAACAAAAAATTACAAAAACGAAAAAGAAAGCAAATATTTATGCCAAAACCCATACATGGAATGAAAAGGAAGAAAAAAAACGTATGATACACAAGCGAACGAAAGGTACTTCATTAAAAACAAAAATAAACAATATAATTAACCTTGTAATTCCCAGGATTATTATAACCATTTTAGTAGGTAAAACCCATAATATACACTGCATTTTATAAAGATTTTTTTGGGTTATTAGTAGATTTTGATTCCAAATATTATTGCATTTATAGTAGTGGTTTTTTGCTTTGTTTTTTTTCTATCCTAGACATTTCCTCGCAAATATACATATATTGTTCGTCACGTTATCCTAATATAATATATTTACATATACGTTGTTTTCTTATATTCTTATTTATCCTAAGTTTATTTGTTATGTTTCTTATTTCCAGTTTAGTTTTTAGTGCCTCCATGTCTTTCTTATTGTACTGAACTATGTATACAAAAAATATTTCCAATATATTTTTTTAAATAAGTATGTTTCACCCCCATACATACAATGAATTTAATTATTATAATCTCCTAAACAAAATCATTAAATAAATACATACATAATTTTTAGAAATTTTTAAATAAAAATGTAGAATTTTTTTTCGTTTATGGGAAAATGTAAGTATGAATTCCTAAACGAATGACTCAATGTAATTTTTAAAGCATACACGCTTCAGCAAAATCTTATACCAAATGCCGAATTTTGGGGGTAGATTTATATGAGAGCTACCCTGAAATTTGGGTCAATATTAATATTTCCACAGACGGACATACGTAAATCGATGGGGTCATCGGTGAATATTTCGAGATGTTGCAAATGGAAAGACAAATTTTAAATACACACCACCTTATGGTGAAGGGTATAACAAGTAAATTCCAATTCTGCCTCATTAAGGAGTACGGCAGTTTCCGACTAAGCCAACGAGCAGTCCAGCCGGCATAAACCTCAATGACGAACGGGGAGGAGATTGCTAATGTCACTGTCATCAACACCTTACCCTCTAGTCAAGAAGGGACGTCGTTGATGATGTGAGATATTCCAAGGTGGAAATTGCTGAGGCAGACGTGCAAAGGCTTCTGCAGCCAAACGTACCAAACACAATGAAGTAAGGCGGAGGGCATTTTGCTATTGTCAATGATTCGGTAACCAACCTGTAGTAACTTCAATACGATATGCAAAATTTTGTCTCAATCGGACCAATATTTACATAAAATCGGACGAAAATATATATGGGAGCTATTTTTTAAATCTCAACCGATTTCAACAAAACTTCGCATACATCAATCTGGACCTAATTCAGTACTTCGTGAAAAATGTTGTCTCAATCGGACTAATATTGGCAGTATGGTGCTTCATTTACATAAAATCGGACCTAATTCAGTACTCTATGCGAAATTTTGTCTTAATCGGACCAATATTGGCAGTATGGTGCTTCATTTACATAAAATCGGACGAAACTATATATGGGAGCTATATCTAAATCTCAACCGATTTCAACAAAACTTGCCATATATCAATCTAAACCTAATTCAGTACTCTGTGCAAAATGTTGTCCCAATCGGACCAATATTGGTAATAAGGTGCTCCATTTACATAAAATCGGACGAAACTATATATAGGAGATAAATCTAAATCTCAACCGATTTTAACAAAACTTCGCATACATCAATCTGGACCTATTTCAGTACTCTGTCCAAATTTTCATTTACATAAAATCGTACGAAACTGTATATGAGAGTTATATCTAAATCTGAACCGATCTCAACAAAACTTGGCATATATCAAACTAAACCTAATTCAGTACTTTGTGCATAATATTGTCTCAATCGGACGAATATTGGCAATATGATGCTTCATTTACATAAAATCGGACGAAACTATATATGGGAACTACACCTAAGTATGTTTTTACACTGTCTTTTTGTACACGGTTTTGATATAACACGGTTTGAAAATTGAATATTTTAATTTTTTTAGACGATTTTATTCCATTTAGGACGATTTGAAATTGTATGTCAAATTGCGAAGTATGTTCATATCACAAAAAAGTATTTATGAAAGAAAAAAGTCTGAAACCATCGATAGTATCGATAGTTTGCGAACACTAGCTTAAAGATTTAAGTGAATTCCCCTTTAGAGCTTACAAACAATTTTTAATGGTCAAAGCAAATGTGAATAACACTAATTTAGGGGAATTCCCTTTATGTATAAGATCAATGTCTTTTTTTACACGGCTTCTTCTGGAACCAATCTACCGTGTAAAACAGAAATCTGAACCGATTTTATCCAATTTCAATAAGTGACATGTGGCAAATTTCATCCAAATCGGATCATAAATGCGGCCTGTACTTTGTTCACAGAAATACATGGACGGACGGACAGACCGACATGCATAAATCGACTTAGGAAGTGATTCTATGCATATTCTCAAAAGGAACCATGGGTCTATCTCGAGTCTTTTTGTGTCTTACAATCATATGCACAAAGACATAATACCCTGTATCACAGTGTGGTGAAGGGTATACAAATATACAAATTTGAAAGGATAATGCGACTAAAATTTTCAAAAATACCTAATAAGCGAAACATGAAATGCTATATTGCAACCCCTCTGAAATTAAAAAAAAATGTGCCTAGAACGATTTATATACCTGTAATGCGATTGGACATTTATATGGCGGCCATGTCAAACAACTGACCTATATTGAGAATTTTCAGCCTTAATAATATCGGCTATATCAAAACGTGAACTTATATTGAAAATATATTGCGAATACATTTTTTTACCTTAATAATATCGATTATAAAGGTGGCTATATCAAAACGTGGACTTATATTTTATATTTTTACTCTCCAGGCAATAGGATGAGTTGCCTTACAACCATTTCTTCGAATATAATATGGATTCGATTAAAAAGTTACGGTATACAATCAATGGATAAAATCGGATACTTCATGCGTTCAAAATAAATTTACATTTTTTTAATTTGGACGCTTTGTGGAATGTATTAGAAGAGGAGGAGTTGCCTTACAAAATTATTACATTGTCTTGAATATAACAACCATGAAATTAGTTTTAGAAAAAAAAACAAAATTGAAAATTAAAAAAAAAATAGACTTGTTAAAAATATTCGGTATTTTAATACCGAATTTTATAATATAAATTCAGGAAATTGCTGGTCATTTCTGGTCAGGAAAGTCAATTAACGACATTTTCAAAATAAATTTACATTTTTTTAATTTTGACGCTTTGTGGGAGGTATTAGAAGAGGAGGTCGGATTGGTCTCAAGATTGAATCAAATCGGACAAATCAAGGCGTAAGGATAATTAAATATTCAGACCGATAACAATTTGGACCAATACAACTGATTAGCAAAAAGAAAGGTTCAGAATCCCGTCTTCATATTCAAATCCATAATACTTTCTAGCCTTTAACTCAATAAGTTAAATTATATGGACTTTTTTCACTTACCAACTGATGGAATATTAATGCACAAAGCATTTGATAATTTTAAGTAGGTTCTACCGAGTTCATAGGAACATATTTGCTGTACATCACTTATATCAATCAATAAATCTGAAACACAAAGAAAATAAATTGAAATAACTAACCTTTCTAGGGATAATTTATTAACACAAACTCTTGCCTCCACTTATACGATCATTACTTACGTGATGTTCCTTCAGTGCGACAAGTTATATAGACACACGCAGCATATATGTGAGTACTCTTACGACCGCGGGTTAAATGACGCATTAAAGCCATCTTAAAGAAATTCAAAGCCGTATCGATGTAATGCTGTGTCAACTGTAACTGTTGACACAAATGCGTTATTTCCCGTTTGGCTTTCTTCAGTGTCACTTCACGCGATTCGGTGCCGCTGCCAACTTGGAATTTACCATAGCCATAGTTGGTGGCACCACCTGAAGATTCAGCCGATACAAATTGACCAATAGCCGACGAACCATGGCCTACCTCTTCAAATTGTATTTCCGATACAATCAAAGAATCCTCAAGAACCGAACCGCAATTTGTACAAACTGTAATTGAAAATATAAACAAATGAAACAACCCATTCCCAACAGAGATATTCATTAATAAACATTACCTCGATCACCACGTGCATTATCTTCTTCGATATCGGTGGAACCACAATTACGACATTTTACACCCGACGACATTATGTTCCGTTAACGTTTATCTTTCGATTCAGAAATTCAATTATTGCTCGATTTTAACGCGTTTCAAAAATATTTTGCAAAGATTCATCCGCCGTATGCACCGCTTTTTGGCAAAACAAACGCAACACATTCACACACACAAACAAGCAAACAAACTGACATCAACATGTCCAATCAGATGTTTTCCTCACACACAATAGAGTTGTGTCATTCCGATAATGAACGAGTTCAAAGTAATGAATGATTCACGGTTATGAACTATGAAAACGAGATATATAATTTTTGTTCGTATGCATTATTAGTCGAATGGATTTTTTAAAAATCGAGTTTTAAATTCCCTTTCCAAGGATGATATCTACATATTGTTAAGAAAAAATTATATATATGAAATACTCAAGACCAATATTTTATGTTTTTATAATCAAGTGGCTATGCGTTATTTTTTAGGTGTAAATACGGCCAAGAAAACATAACCTTTTATTGAGGTCAACAATTGCTAACACAAAATAATATTTGAAAAGCTGTTACTGGCGGCGAGGTGAAGGGAATCTCTATAGAAGAGAGTCTCTATATAAGAGCTGTCTCTATATAAGAGCTGGAGTAGGAGTCTCTATAAACGAGCTTAACCAGTGGATCTCTATAAACGAGCTGAAACTGGTATTCTCTTTTTAGAAGTGCTGAAACAGGCATTCTCTATAGACGAGCTGAAGGGAGTCTCTACAGACGATCTGAATGGAGTATCTATAAACGAACTGAAGGAAGTCTCTATAGACGAGCTGAAGGGTATATCTATAAACGAGCTGAATGGTATCTCTATATACCAGCTGAAGGTTATGAAATTCATTTGGGTAGCTGCGAATTAAAGGATTTTCAGCAGTTTTTGGAGAAGTGGTTCAATGATATGCCTGTAGTGGGAGACTGATATTCTCATCAAAACAAATTGAGGAATGTAGGTCATTCCGGTATAGTCAAGTAATTATTTCGGCTTACTTCTGGAATGATTCTCTCATGACAGATCGAAGCTACTCCTCAAATCAAGGAGAACTATCGATAAATGTCTGCAATTTGTTTGCCCAACGGGACAGAAGCAGAATAAGGGACAATTTTTATAATCAAGACAAATTTTAAATTCACCCAGAAGTTCACAATGAACGATCCAGATGGTGTAGTGAAAGACTTCCCGATTTGATTTGAGCCATCGTCATTTAGGAAATAACGAACGAAGATCAAAAAGACAACCCACCCTGATGATAGCCCAAATACGACTGAAAATAAAATGAAGACAGGGATTTGTACCCAATGGAAATCTTCGAGGGCGTCAACCAGTTCCAGAAACTCAGAACACCACTTATGCCGGTAAAACTAGGGGTGACTTCTATATCTTTGGGGAACATTCCAAGGCCTATAAACATGGAATTCAAGGCCACTGAACGTGGATTTTTAGAGTTTATTTTAAGGGAAGCATATCTTTACGAATATGTTTAGAAAAAATATTTTTTAAAAACATTAAAAAAATACGTGAATTGTGGAAAATATTCGTGGATTTTTAAAGGATATTTTAAAGAAAATTGTTTTGGATTCTTAAAGAATATTGTAAGGATTTTGGATTTTTAATATACTTCAAGGAAAATACTTCTGCATTTTTATGACTATTTGAAGGTTCATATTCGACTTTGAATATTTTAAGTAGATATTCATGAGTTTTTAAAGAATATTTTAAAGAAATAACCGTACATTTTTAAGCTATATTTTTACTAAAAAATAGTAAATTTTGAAGGAAATCATTCGTGGGATATTAATGGACATTCCAAAGACTATAATAATCTCTTTTTGAAACTATTTTAATAAACAAACACAAAGCCAATATTATGAGTATAAAAATATATTTATTTATTTAATTCGTTTATAAGAAGAAAAACTATTGATAATATATTTGTACAATTAATATAAAGTGTATTTAAATTAATATTTACAATTGCAGCTATGTAGAATGAAATATAAAAAAACAATACAGTAACGGTATGATTTTGTTTTCATAATACTTTCGAAACATCATTTAGATAAGTGGGATAAGTATAAAAATATATTTTAATAACAATTTCATTTTAGATAGAAGGCAAAATCACCCTTTTAATTAAGGAATATTAAAAAATAAATACAATTTGTTAGTGGTGTTGGTGTTGCAGTTTTTATTTGCCATAGTGGGGTTTCTTGTCAATCCATTTGGTCAAATCGACTTGCGGTATATTCGAACATGGCACAACGGGATTGCTGTTGAGAAAAAACAATATAAAATATTATTTATTATATATTATTAACATGGTAGTAAATATAAAAAATATATATTTTTATTTATTTTATATTTATATTAAGAAGCAATCTACATTGAACTTACCTTGGTGAAACCAATAGGAAAGCCTTCTGTTGCATAGACTGAATATTATTGGCATTGTCACACAGTAGACGAGCCATACTAGCTTTGCGAATTTCAGCCAATTGATCTGGAAAAACGAGAAGAACATCATTAGGAATTTATAGATAAACTGAGGGTGTTGTTTTTTCTTAGTTTTTGGGTCTGTATAGAACCTGAGGGGAGCCTCTATAGAAGTTGTGAAGGCAGTCTTTATAGACGAGCTGAAAGGGAGTCTTTATAGACGAGCTGAAAGGGAGTCTTTATAGACGAGCTGAAAGGGAGTCTTTATAGACGAGCTGAAAGGGAGTCTTTATAGACGAGCTGAAAGGGAGTCTTTATAGACGAGCTGAAAGGGAGTCTTTATAGACGAGCTAAAAGGGAGTCTTTATAGACGAGCTGAAAGGGAGTCTTTATAAACAAGCTGAAATGGAGTCTTTATAGACGACCTGAAAGGGAGTCTTTATAGTCGAGTTGAAAGGAAGTCTTGATAGACGAGCTGAAAAGGAGTCTTTATAGACGAGCTGAAAGGGAGTCTTTATAGACGAACAGAATAGACTCTTTATAGACAAGCAGAAGGGAGGTTTCATAGACGAAAAGGAAGGGTAAAGTATAGCTAAATGGAGGCCATAAAGTCTGCTTGAGTTTTTCATATTTTACCCATCCTTCGTTTCCAACTTACCTGGAGTAAAACCAACATATTTTTCACCATTCTCAAAGAAGAAACGATCACCAACACGTGTACGATAGAATTGTTCAGTGAGTATACACAAGAATGTGGGACCAGCCAATGCGCCAGCTACATGAGATTCCAATGAACCACCTACGGTTATTTCAACATCTTCGTGGCTGGGATACAATGTTTTCAGTTTTTCAATGATCTATAAAATAGAAAATGAAAGGAAATGGTATTGCATTCAAATTTGTTCATGCTTTTGTTTTTCAAAATATGTGTTCTGTTTTTAATCATACCGCACGATCAATTAGGTCAGCATAATCCTCCCAACTCTCAGCTCTTCGCAGGCCACAGAATTGTCTAAAGTCATTGTAGGAGGCCAAACCATGGTCACGATTACGTTGAATATCAATAGCTCTCAAATCGCTGCCAAATGGCATATTACGTCTGAATAAGAAGTGTTTAATCTGCAACGGGAAAAAATAACAAACATAAACAACCATAAATAACATTTTAGTAAAGGGTGGTGGTGTCGGAGTAATGACAATTCCAACAGAAATAAATCACGGCTATGAAAACATTCAGTTGACTTACCTCTCTGTCGAAGTTAATGTCGGTTAATTCTTCTGGCTGTGTTGAGTGTCCACGTGTTAGTGAATCAAAGTTGTCGCCAACTTCTATGATGCCGGGACGATTGAACCAGTCACTTAGTCGCAATGAGCCCAAAACTGATCTCAATTCCGATAATAAACTGCACGAAATATGTAAAGACACAAAGAGACAGAATAACAAGATTAGCAGGGTCAAACATAGCGGCGAACATTCATTTAATTAGAAAATCGTTAGTGTTTTTGGGAAATAAATTAAAAAACGGGATGTCATAATAGGGAAATCTAATGACTGGTTAAACAATTACAGTACAGTTGGCGGATTTTCCCACCACTTTATTGAAGCGGACATTCGCGAATGATACAGGTGTTCTACGGATAGTTTTTTATTGTATTTTCAAGACCAAACGAAGACCTCAAGAGGTCGACAAATGAAAGTTCTATGGAGGAGTTTGTATAGACTTACGTGTCTTTATAGACGAGATGGAGAGATTCTTTGTAGAGGAGTTAGAGGGAGTCTTTATAGATGAGATGTATGGAGTATTTTTAGACGAGCTGAAGGGAGTGTCTGCAGACATCCTGGATTAAATTTAGACTTATTTCAGACGGGCTGAAGGAAGGAGAAGGCCATCTGAGTTTTTATAGACTAGCTGAAGCGAATCTTTATAGACGAGCTGCAGGGAGTCTTTATAGACGAGCTGAAGGAAGCATTTATAGACGAGCTGGTGGAGTTTCGACTTATTTTAGACACGCGAGTTTCTCTAGAAGGACTGAGGGGAGTCTTTATATACGAGTTGAAGGGAGTTTCTCTAGAAGGCCTGAAGGGAGACTTTTTATATATGAGATTAAGGGAGTCTTTATGGACGAGCTGAAGGGAGTCTTTATGAATGAGCTGAGGGGAGTCTTTATAGACGAGCTGAAGAGAATCTATACAGACGAGTTGAAGGTAGTCTCTATAAATAAGCTAAAGGTAGTCTTTATAGACGAATTGAAGGGAGTCTCTATAGACGAGCTGAAGGGAATCTCTATAGACGAACTTAGGGGAGGCTCTATAGACGTGTTGAAGGCAGTTTTTATAAACGAGTTGAAGGGAGTCCCTATTGACAGTCAAATTCTTAAAATACCACCCCATACTTACTCTAATCTTCCTTCGATTTGTGAATGGAAATACCGGAAAGCAGCTGTGGCATGTGAATTAATCACCGATGGATCAATGCTTGGATCAAAATCATTCACTGGCGCCTTTTCAGGAACTTTATAGATTAAACGATTCTTAAGCATATTTTCAGCACCCAAAAAGATAGGTAACCATTCATAATAACTGATATGTTGATATTGAGCAATATTAATTTTACGAGCCTCCTGGAACAGCGTACGATCATCAAAGTGTGGATTAAGTTTAGCCAATTCACCAGCAATACGATTATGTTCTCTCAACAAGATTGTATGTAAAATAGTCAATCCAGGATTTTGATTAACACGAATATCACCAGCTGTGTAGCATACTTCAGTTGGGTCAATGGCATCACAATCTCCGGTTACATTACGTGAAGATGGCAGCCAATCTGCTCCATTACGACGTTCAACAATCATACGACCACCTTGGAAGGCACGAATTTGACTATTTTGTTGTATGGAATTGCCATAGACCAACGATAAATCCATGTAAGAGGTGACGGTGGTCAACTGTTCGGCGGGACCACCACGATAGTCGGGACAACGTGCATCCAAATCGGTCAGGGTACGTACAAAATTTAAGCATTCCGTACCAACTTGAGAGTACACGGGATCGTGTTCGGGTACAATAATGGCGAAACAAGTTTTGTGTGCAGTGTCCAGACCCACCAAGCGACCATCATCCGTACAACAACGTGTGGGATGTTTTTCTGTAAAACAAATCAAATTAATATCTTAATTTAAGTCTATAAAATATTAATTATATGAATACTTACTGGACTGAGTACCACCAGCCTGCATAGACATATCGTGTGTCATAATCTGACCCCATTGCATGTTGATCAATGTAAATTCTGGATCGGGCACATCCATTTCTCCAAAGATTACCAAAGACACCAAACGAGCACTGGGCAACTCTTGCCCCGTAACAGAGGCTGTGGGAGAACTGATACCATCGCCATAACGTGGCGACAGTAGACGTCCATAACGTGTATTGGCCATACCCAATTGAGGACGTTCCAAATGATTACAGGACCCATCCAAAGTACGATATGTTGACTTTTCACAAACTGGCGGCGGTGCGGCACATTGTGCTCTTCCGGGTTGGGGAAATTGTGGACCATATGGACCATGTGTGGACAGCGTGACAAAAGGATTTACGGGTGCCGGAGAGGTTGGAGCAAAACCAGTTGGTACGGCATTACTGGAAGGAATATTAAAGAGTTGTGAGAACTAAATTTCTGGAAAAAACTATGAGAACTTACCTCACTAATGGCAGTGCAAAAGCTGATGCCGGAAATCCTGGTGCCGAAGGATATCTATGTTGGGCAAATGCATCAACGCCATGTTCATTGTGTAATATGTGATAACCAGTGGTGGAAACTTTTATGCTCAACGCTTGACAAATCAGTGTCAAAAGGACACCTAATTCTATTCTCCAGATCATCTGAAATGAAAATAAAGAAAACAGATTTCAGTAAAAAAGAAAATGAAATCTGCATAGAGGAGATTATATAGAGAATCTCTATTGAGAAGCTGAACGAAGTCGTTATAGACAATCTGAAGGAAGTTTTATATACGAGATGAATTTTGTCTTTATAGAAGAACTGAAGGCAGATTTTATGGGCGAACTAAATGGAGTCTTTATAGACGAGTTTTTTTGCAGGCAGTCTTTATAGTTGATTGAACGAATTGAAGATATTTTTTTTCATCAATTTATAAAAATTTTCAATGTTCAATGTTTTCATCAATTTATATAGTATAAGACACTCAAAAACCAGTAAGGAAAGTAATAAAGTCGGACTGGGCCGACCATATGATACCCTTCACCACTTTGGGTATATTGTACATATGTATCCTTACAATTATATGCCAATGTTCCCTCGAAGAACATACTCATGTCCTTCTGCAACCTATCATAAATTTAATTTCAGATTTAGACAGATTTAGAGTCGTCTGCCTACCATTGGACAAATTTATGGAAAACGATTAATGGCTGCATTTGCACCAATTTCAACAAAACCCAGTGACGTCATTCAAGTCTCAATTTGATACGTTGTGCAAAATTTCGTGTTAATCGGAAAAACATTAGGAGTTTGGTGCACAATTTATGTAAAATCTGACGAAAAAATATATGGGAGCTATATCTAAATCTGAACGGATCTTCATTAAACATAGCACACATCATTCTAGGCTCAATTCAGTACGATATGCCAAATTTCGAGCAAATCGAAGGATATATAGGGACTTTGGTGCACCATTTACATAAAATCGGACGAAAATATATATGGGAGCTATATATAAATCTGAACCGATTTTCACCAAATTTAACACACATCATTCTACACTTAATTCAGTACCTTATGCCAAATTTCGTGCATATCGAAAGATATTTAGGAACTTTGGTGCACCATTTACCTTAAATCGGACGAAAATATATAGGGGAGCTATATCTAAATCTCAACCGATATTCACGAAAGTTAGCGCACATCATTCTAGGCTCAATCCAGTGCGCTGTGACAAATTTCGTGCATATCGAAAGATATTTAGGGACTTTGGTGCACCATTTACCTTAAATCGGACGAAAATATATATAAGAGCTATATCTAAATCTGAACCGATTTTCAGGAAACTTAGCACACATCATTCTACGCTCAATCCACTACGCTGTGACAAATTTCGTGCATATCGAAAGATATTTAGGGACTTTAGTGCACCATTTACCTTAAATCGGACGGATATATATATATATATATATATCTAAATCTGAACCGATTTTCAAGAAATTTTACACACATCATTCTATGCTCAATTCAGTACGCTATGCCAAATTTGGTAAATGGTAAACCATTTACCTTAAATCGGGCGAAAATATATACGGGAGCTAAATCTAAATCTGAACCGATTTTCCCAATTTCAATAGGTTCGTCTTGGGCCAAATAGATGATCTGTGCCAACTTTCATCCAATTCGGATCATAAATGCGACCTGTACTTTGTTTACAATTTACCATGGACAGACAGACAGATGGACGGACGGACATGCATAGACTTAGAAAGTGATTCTATGCATATTCTCAAAAGGAACCATGTGTCTATCTCGTTTCCTTTGCCTATTACAAACATATATGGTGAAGGGTATAAAAAGCAACTTCTCGCGTAGGATTTTCAAAAAGTATTTGTAAAAAAAGCAACATCTCGTATAAGATTTCCAAAAAAAATTTTTAACAAATCCTCGCCTGGTATAAGATCTTCAACCACCAGATATATAAGACCTGAAAAAATATAAAAAAATCCTCGCCACGTGTAAGACTTTCAAAAAATATAAAAATATTCCACGCCTTGTATATATTTTTAAAAAATCCGTATAAGACATTCAACAAATATTTAAAAAATCCTCGTAAAAGACCTTCAACAAATATTTTTAAAAATGTTTCTCCTGACGGCAATTTTCAATGGCATAGCCCTCATATAAAAGTCTCAATACCGATTTTAGATTTTTTGAGTATCCACCTGATGTTGGATGCTATACAAATTTCTTACCGGTCGAACTTAACGACTTGTTTCAGTTATGAAAGATTCTCTCCTTAGCGGATGTAGGAACAATGATTAAATTTCCTATAAAAAATATATTTCTTTGTTTTAGTATAGAGTCCGGTTACTCACCTTCATTAAGGCCTGAATGGCTCAATCAGGAATAGTAAATACCCAAAAAAAGACAACCTTGCATTAATGCTGAATATTTAAACTAACCACGATATTACGATGTCCGCCATCCATAACAACTAATTTATGGTCTCTGCGATAGAGTCTCTATATGGTGAAACCGATTTGTTATGCTAAGAATTCCGAACATTTCAATGGAGATCAATTGGAATTTAATACGATAGAGAGACACTCAACCGGCACACAAATGGTGGCGACCATTACCATGCTTAGAATAACAACGGCATATTGGAAAGGAACTAAAAGCAGACAAGGTAGTAAAAGCAAGCACTTCAACAAAAGATTCAGAGTTCCAATCATTGAAGTTTTTTTGTTATTGTTGTAAGTTTCATTGTTGTTTGACATGAATGAAAAAGCAAAAAAAGCTAAGCTAAGATCACAACATGAGTTCAGCATGAAAATATATTCATGCATTATTTAAGCGGGGTTTCAATGAGGGTATGGACACCTGTTGGGTATTGACATGGTATGGCATAAAACAATTGCTCCAGATGATTCGTCCTCGGTAAGTATGTACCACAGCATCACAATTTGATTTACATTTAGATTTTCCAGACAACTGCCACCACAATGAATAGATAGACATACAGACCAAATGCTCTGATTCGTAATAGAAAACAAGAGGAGAAAAAAAACCTAAATCACGTCGCATAAAAAAGTGTTTTAGAAATGTTTTACAAGCCGTACAATTCTCTTGGCGTCCAATATATGTACGAGTTTAGTTATGTATGTGGAATTGGTCATATCCATTACAATCGATCTTTAACATGCGGTATTATATCATGCATGAGAACCTCTCTAGTCACCTCTTAATAACAATAACAACAACTAAGACAACAACAATTGACATCGTGAAGTACAATAAAGTGACTGTTTACATGCATCCTTCGATATATTCTCTTCAATGAATGACGATAATGGCCATTCTCGTAATAAGGCTGAATGAATTGAAAACGGCCGATCGCAAAGTAGAAAAAAACTACATGTTATGGTTTTATTTTGAATGGAGGTTGGACGAGGGTCGTGAAGAATTATTTTGGTAGCAACAATTAATGATGACTGAAGTTACAAAAAAATTGCTTTGGTTCTACCAAGCCTCACTCCTATAAAAAAAAACAAGAAAAATGTCATCGGTTTTTTTTTAAATGGCGGAAATTTTATGATAAATTGCTGATAGGTCATATTAGACACTTTGATTAGCACCTGGAAAATACCGAAAATGACACGTAACCTTTGTATGTGGGCTATGTAGACGCCTGAACTTACATTGAAATTATTTTGTAAAGAAGTTGGGTGCCCACCAAGATCCTGGAGTTACACTTCGAAATGTGAAAATATAGTCACTTTGGATGGAAAATGCACCTAGAATTGTCTAAATTGCTGCCAGGAAATGTTACACAATTTGACTAGGGCCTAGAAAATACAAAAAATGACACGTGACCTTTATATGGCGGCTATGTAGAAGTCTGGACTTATGCTGAAAATATTTTGTGAAGAAATTGTGTACCCACCAAGATCCATAAATATCCATATTTATATGGGGATATACTATTTTCCCACCCAATGAGAACTAACAATATCAAATTATAACCAAATCCGTTTAAACATATGTCTGAAATCCTCAAAATTAGATGGGAACTACACCTAGTCGTAGACTGATTGTGGCAATTTTTAATAAGAAAGCTTTGCCACTCAATGAGAGCCAATACCAGTAGTTATGTTAGCCCGGGCCGAACTTCATATGCCCTCCACCATGTGGTGTTCATTCTAAATTTCGTAAAATGGTCGGGAGGTCCTTTAAAAGGAGATTATTTCGTTGTAAATTGTCTTTTAATAGGTTAAATAAAATATTACAGACACTCAGATTAGAAAACTGGACCAGAAGTTTCAACGTACCGTAAATTAAACGGGACATTTGTATTAGCGCCATGTAATAAAATTTTCTGGGAAGAAGCTTTATTATTCCCCAGAAAGTCAAATATTCCAGCCACTTCCGTGGGACAAAATGTGACAAAAAAATGCTAGTCCTTCGAAAATTTTCTCCAAGAACCTGGAATGTCCAATTCCAGCCACTTCAGTTGAAAAAGTTGGATAAAAATGCATCTGAGGGGACTTTTTTCTACAGAACTAAATCAAACCTCAGTTACTGAGGATACTTTTTCTATAGAGAAAATTCAAACCTCAGTTACTCATGAGATCTTTTTTATAGAAAAAAGTAGACAATAGAAAACCAGTGAGTGGAGCAGTATAGTCGGACGAAGCCGACCACATGAAACCGTACACAACTTACATCAAACTCTAATTTCTTGAACGATTATAGGTCAACAGCTCCACTTTTTAACCCTGGCATATTTTCCAAATCTTGTTTTCCCGAGGTGAATTTTATCCCATAAAGAATGTGGTCACTTTAGGTTGTGTTTTATCTGACCCTCGGAATATTGACCGATTATCAAAGAAAATAGCCGTACTAAGTAATTGTTCAGATCCCCTTCGCCGTGTAAAATATGTAATATTCTGCATATAATAATGGCCTCTAGAACGGCTAAAAAATCTGATAAAAATAAAGTATTCGGTTCATTGCAATCCATAAGCACCATCTCAACATCACCGAAAATTATAAGCATCGTCCTTGACCATATCTGGAACTTCATGTAAAATTTCAAAGCAATCAGCGCGACATTTTTAGTGGGTTTTTATTACACAAAAGTCTATTTTCGTATAACTCCCACATCCG